GGACACTCGGTTGGTGAATCAAAAGAACGGTTTGCGAACCGATCCCGAGAGCCATTGCGGCGTTTATTGCAGAAATGCAGTTACGCTGATGAATAGGGTAAAATAAATGCATCTATTGCCCATTTATGAAAGCAGTAAGTTATTTTATATATATATATATATATATATATATATATATAATCATTAAAATAACGCTCTTATTGCATTTGGCGTTTATACTACTGTTTGTACACGTATATTTCAGCTTATTCTATGTGACTGCTTACAGTATTATTACTTTGTCATGTCCATTTCAAGGATCTAATTTCTTTTCTTTTCTTTTCTTGTATTAAAAGTGCAAATGTGTCCTATTTCTCCAGCAAAATTGCTACAAAGACTACACTGAATACAATCAACAATGTAAAAACAAATCATACTTAAACAAGGCATATGTCCTGTAATAAATATTTTATTTGTGCTAATGTTGTTATTATTATTATTATTATTGTTATTGTACCTGTGGTTTAGTCACTTATACTTGTGCACAATATGCTTGCAAATATTTTAATAACAAATTATCACAAGTATAGGCCTATATTTTTATATTAACATAATAAAGTAATACTAAACAATAACAAAAACCGACAAATAAAACACTTTTAAATTCAAAAGCCTTCGAATTTATTTGCGCGTTTTTTCTGCAGAAATGTGGGTTAAAGACTGTGGTTGCTGTATTATAGTCTATTGATATACACTCTCAGCAACTACCCGAGAGCCCGTTCGATGAACGAATCGAACATACGTGTTTTCGGACACTTGGTTGGTGACTCAAACGCACGGTTCGCGAACCAATCCCAAGAGCCCTCGCGGCGTTTACTGCGGAAATGTAGTTACTGTCACGTTCAGCTCCGAACGCTCCTCGTGTGTGCCACGCCCCCTCATTACCTCATGTCAAACCCTGATTGTTCTCACCTGTTGCCTGTTCCGTTTTCCACAGATCTGTCATCGTCAATTCCCATGTGTGTTTCCGTCTTGTTCGTTTCCCAATGAAATCCCGTTTTGTCTGTCAACCTGGCTGCTCTCGCCTCTCTCACGAGCTCGTGAACTCGCTTCGTGACAGAATGACAGATCTCCCGAACAACGCAACGCAGCAGGGCGAGGACCTCTGGCTCGTTCTGCTGCATGAGGTTGCGTTCTGGCGAGAGCAACCGGAGATCCGTGAGGATCCCGGTTTGTACGCCCTAGCAGAGCGAAGCTGGACCCTCCTGCAAGAGGTAAACCCATGCACCGAAGCACACACGATGGCGGAAGTGCGCGCTCTGCTACAGCAGCTTGTCCGCCAGTTCAAGACGAAGCGGCTCCAACCCCTCGCCTGTACGGAGGCAACCCCGCTTCCTCCTACAGGTTCCGGGCGGCGAAAAAAGAA